TTATGGATTATAGTTCTGGGATTACTTGATATTCGATATACGTTAAGGAGGAAGGTAGTGGAATAAGATGCTAGAAGTAGTGAGACTTAGGCGTAGGTATATTAAAGTTAAACGATGCGCGTTTCTTTGTTCGGCACCGCGACGGCCGATAGCATCCGTGCACCCACCTAAATTCCATGTGTTAGGTGGTTTAGCAGGGTCCCCGTACCTGCTGGAGCTAGTGGGTACTTACTAAGTACATGAGACTTTCTACATTTAAGAGTTCTAATTGGTTATTACTTGATCCCAAAGTGCATCTAAATCCCACTTGATTCAATTTGTCAAGTATCGCCACTGTATTTCCTTTTTTTCCGTGGCAGCAAAAAGACAAGAACCTGAACAAGCAAGCAACAAGCTGGTGGAAAAAAATAAGTCTGCGAAATTTCCCGACGCCGTCCAACTTCCGTAACACGCTCTCACCATTCCACTTCCATCTCGAATCCTCAACCCTCGACAATTCCCTCCACCCCCGGAACAGGGCCAATTGGCAACCCGCAGCCTATCCGTACATCGTTAATTGATCGCTCGTTCCCCCTCATAACTCCCCGCGACGCAACCCGGCCCAATGTCTACCTCCTCAGGAGTCAACGTACGCTCGATCATTACCGTTCGCCCGAACCTCAAGATGCGGCACAACTAACAACATCATATACAGGTACTACGGTACTCGGCTCTCGCTTTCGGTGTTTTCTACGGTTTCACGCACCAGAGGTCCATCAGCGCATCGCAAAAGGCCGCCGCGGCAAAGAAGGAATATGAGCACAAGCAACAATTAATAGAGCAGGCCAGAGCCGAATACGCCAAGTCCAAGAGCCCAGCCAGCTACCCAACAGTCGATTCCAAGAGTGGTTGTATGTTTCCCCTATTTGTTGCTCCTGTTCACGCAGACGATGGTGTATATGACAGGATACTAATGGTATCATATATTTAGTGAACCAAGATCCGGAGGATCCCAAGTTTGATCTGGAAGCATACCTCAATGCCCTCGCAGCGAAGAACCCGTAGGGAATGTAATAATAATAATGGACGAACCACGCGCGGGATGCAATAGAGTCTAGGGGCACCGAATGGGAGGAGAGCATAGGGACAAGCTCAGTGCTGGAGTTGGATCCAAGTCAAATGGAAGTCGTTCACGTACCAACGGCTTCACAGACTCTGTGTATGATTGCGGTGCAGTCCAAAAAGACCACCCACATAGATTTTCCTTGGGTTTTCATGCTGTACATGTGTACAATACCAAGACCATTGCTAACTCAGACCATGTTGAAGATGCTGTGTTGCATGACGTTTGTTGCTCAGTACTCTTCATATTTGAGTGAATTATTATCTAGTGTTTCAAACCATGGTTTTTTCACCTGTTATATGCCTATCAAGAGGAGCAGGGATATTTTGATGACCGAGTAGATTCTTCATCAGATTATAATGACATGCATGCTGGCTTATTGCATGTCTTCTGTAGTGATTGAGGTAATAATAGACTGGGGGTTCAGGATATATTGACAATTAGCCAACGAAATCACATATACCAGAATAATTCAAGATATATCTGAATCATGGTGTTGAAATATTAGATAATATGACATGCAGTAGTTAAAGGTATCTCTACCTACTACATATATGAATCTCGAAATTCGCATAGAGTGATCAAGGTCAAAGTTAAAGCATCATGAATGCATGTGTCAGTATAGGATTAAGTAAGCGGGGAGAGGTAAGGATATCAAATGTACTTGTCTACTTTGAACCCGCACAACACGCAATTAGGTACAACATCTACAATACCATACTCTTATTTGATTGGTTCAATTGTTACCCTGTTCGGCAGCCACCCGTTACCTAATCCTACCCGCAATTCGTTACTTTGCACCTACTGTAAATTGAAGTTTGGCTGGACCCCTGCCCAAAAAAAAAAAACGTGGAGCTCTTTCTGCATGCTTGCGACGCGCGGTTTGAAAGCTCCAGCTGTCCTCACCACTAACAACTAACACCACCAACAACAACCATCATTCCCCGAACATTTTCTCCATTGCGGCCGAGTCACAACCAAACTCCGCAACCTCTCTTAATTCTTGTCTTCTTTTTCAAATGTTGACCTCATCTACCACTTAGTTGCATTGTCTTGAAGGCAACAACCCACCACAATGGCTGTCGCAACCGACGCCAGCTTGACACCTGTCGATCTACTCGTCAATGTGGGCAAGAATCAGAGCACCAAGACTTTATTGAGGGCCCTCATTCTCTTCTTCATTGCCGCCGCTGCAGTTGCAAGTCGACTGTTTTCTGTCATTCGTATGTTCCTCTACAATTAAATATTTCGAAATCGTCTGCTAATTACTATTCTCTCCAGGTTTCGAGAGTATCATCCACGAGTGTCAGTCAGCCTGTCCAATCCAATTCCCCCTTCTCTTCGGTTACTAACATACTCTTGTACAGTCGACCCTTGGTTCAACTTTCGAGCAACCAAATACCTCGTCTCCAACGGATTCTATGACTTCTGGGATTGGTTTGACGATCGAACATGGCATCCCCTCGGTCGAGTTACCGGTGGTACCCTCTATCCCGGCCTGATGGTCACGAGTGGTGTCATCTACCATGCCCTGCGAGCCCTCACCATCCCCGTCGACATTAGAAACATCTGTGTGCTTCTTGCACCCGTTTTCTCCGGTCTCACTGCTTACGCCGCTTATCTTCTCACCAATGAGATGACCCCCTCTTCGTCTGCCGGTCTCCTCGCCGCAGCTTTTATGGGTATTGCCCCGGGTTACATCTCGAGATCTGTGGCCGGCTCCTACGACAACGAAGCCATTGCCATCTTCCTCCTGGTCTTCACCTTCTACCTCTGGATCAAGGCCTTGAAGCTGGGTTCCGTTCTATGGGGTGCCCTCTGTGCTCTCTTTTACGGATACATGGTGGCTTCGTGGGGTGGATACGCCTTTATTACTTGTTTGGTGCCCCTCCATGCATTTGTCCTCGTTTGTATGGGAAGATTCAGCATGCGCCTCTACGTCTCGTACACCACCTGGTACACCCTTGGAACTCTGGCCAGTATGCAGGTTCCCTTCGTCGGTTTCAACCCTGTTCGTACTAGCGAGCACATGCCCGCCTTGGGTATCTTCGGATTCCTTCAGCTCGTCGCATTCCTGGAATACGTTCGTTCAGCTGTTCCAGGCCGCCAGTTCCAGACTTTCCTCTACGTTGTCCTGGGTGGTGTCTTCGGCATCTCACTGCTCGCCTTGGTTGGTCTCACTACCTTCGGCTACATTGCTCCCTGGTCTGGTCGATTCTACTCCCTATGGGACACGGGCTACGCCAAGATTCACATCCCGATTATCGCATCCGTGTCCGAGCATCAGCCAACCGCTTGGCCCGCCTTCTTTTTCGATCTCAACATGCTGATTTGGCTTTTCCCCGCCGGTGTCTACTTGTGCTTCCAGAAATTGGAAGATGAGCACGTCTTCATCATCATCTACTCCCTCTTCTCAAGCTACTTCGCCGGCGTCATGGTTCGATTGATGCTCACTCTAACCCCAGTTGTTTGTGTCGCAGCCGCCATCGCAGCCTCGCAACTTCTGGACACATACCTCGTAGTGAAGTCGCCAGAGCCTGCCGAGGCCGAGGAGGAGAGCTCTAATGCTTCTGGAAAGAAGGCTTCCAAGCACGGCGTTTTGCGAACGGCATCCCAGCCCGTAGTTGGGATTTACAACCTCCTGTCCAAGGGTTTCATCACTACTTGCATGACAGTGTACCTGCTCATTTTCGTGCAGCACTGTACCTGGGTTACTTCGAATGCTTACTCATCTCCCTCGGTCGTGCTGGCAAGCAGAATGCCAGATGGTAGCCAGCATATCATCGACGATTACCGTGAAGCCTACCAGTGGCTCCGTCAGAACACCAAGGAGGACGCCAAGATCATGTCTTGGTGGGATTACGGTTACCAGATTGGTGGTATGGCCGATCGTCCCACCCTTGTCGACAACAACACGTGGAACAACACGCACATTGCCACTGTTGGCAAGGCCATGAGTTCTCGGGAAGAAGTGAGCTACCCAATCATGCGCCAGCACGAAGTTGACTACGTCCTTGTCGTCTTCGGTGGTCTCCTTGGCTACTCGGGTGACGATATCAACAAGTTCCTCTGGATGGTGAGAATCGCCGAGGGTATCTGGCCCGATGAGGTCAAGGAGCGAGATTTCTTCACGAGCCGCGGTGAATATAGAGTAGACAGCGAGGCTTCGGATACTATGAAGAACAGCTTGATGTAAGTTTCATCTTTGAGAGAAAGTTACTACACCGTACTAACCTCATTTTCTTCAATATAGGTACAAGATGTCGTACTACAACTACGGTTCTCTCTTCCCCCCTGGAAAGGCTCAAGACCGTGTCCGAGGTGCCTTACTTCCCGATCAAGGACCGGTTCTCAACACGCTAGAAGAAGCGTACACCAGCGAGAACTGGATCATTAGAATCTACAAGGTGAAGGATCTCGACAACGTTGGTCGAGACCACGCTTCGGCAGCTTCGTTCGAGAAGGGACACAAGAAGAAGAAGTCGACCAAGAAGCGCGGACCCCGGGTGTTGAGGGTTGAGTAATGCAATTCAGGAGGGGCAAGGTAAAGGAAAATTTGCACAGGAGTTGAACATGTTTCTACCATCAGTTTCTTACATTTTCTAGATGGGCCAAGGGAAAACCAGGCATCGACGATTGCTCTTGTACAGGAACCTAAAATTTGAGGTAGAAAAAAAAGAAAGTATATTCCCTGATCTGTTTATGGATGTGTTTATCATAACCTCTCCCGCCCAAGTACCCATTCAATTATCACAATCATGGCAGACAGCAACAGTATCCTCTCGAGCGATTATCTCCCCGATTAGTGGTGGTTATAACCTTCATATGCTGAGGAAAATCAAAAAGTAAGCCCCTTTTTGCTGAATCCAGGATATACCGATTTGGTAAAATGTGAGAATGCCCACTACTGGAGTCGAACCAGTCATATCCTCATACTATGTAGCTTCCCCAGTAGGCGACGCTTCAAGAAGCAATATGTTTATACAATTTACCAGATGTTACGAATGTACTAGTGAGGCGCATTACCGGTGTGCCAAGCGGGCCATTGGACGGTGGAGGAATTCGCTGCTCGGTTGGCTTATACTCATTTCACTGGTCAAGAATCACGACGACTCTAAAAATTGTAACGGGACGATCAAAAGGAATCTAGACTCGATATCTCGTTATGGTTATCTATCTTGGTAGCATGGAGGGCGAAGCCAAGTTTGCATTTATCGGACTAACTATTACGGCCACAAATGCCCCCCTTTCTTGCCTTGCCTTGCCTTGCCTTGCCTTGCAAACTGAGTATCTGAAAATAGGAGGTAGGAAACAAAAGAAAATCTCGTCCACAATACGAGCCAAAAGTTCTGCAACTAGAAAAAGAAAGACAAATAGGAATTTTCAATCCCACATAAGTTAGGCAAGCTACCAAGTAGCAGTTGAACAAAAAAAATACGCCAATCCTCCAAAACTTCTTGACCCCTGACCTCATCACAATTCCTCAGATTGTCGGAACAGCACGATGTCGAGAACTTGTCCGGCTATTACAGGTGTCTTTGACGTCCAAGGTAGGTAGTCAACCTGCAAAAAGGCTGCGTGTCATATGCTAGCGACAGGCAAAATCTGTCAACATGGTGCAGTATTGTCGTCGACGAGTGTGTTTGTATGTATGTGCAAGTAAACGTAACACGGTGTGTACAACCGAACCAGGTCAGGTATGAATAGGCGGTAATATGCCAAGAAAGTATCACACTCGCGAGGGGCGACGTATACGTCGGCGTCTTCCATCGATGGTAGTCAAAGCGGTAGAGGTGGAGGCAGCGGCCGGCTGTAGTTCCTCGATGGAATGACCCGTATGAACAGCCATGGAGGATCCAATATATCTGGGAATCATACCCGACGAGCTGCTTGATTCATCTTCTTTGTTCTGGTACACTTTCTTATCCGATTGCTTCTTAAACAAGTTGGACTGTGCTCTTCCAGCTTCGTTGGGAGCTGGGCCGCGCGTGTGCGATCTCGTCGCCTTGTGGGCTTGTTCTTCCTCTCTAGAGAACTCTGTATTCCATTCCAAGTCAGCTAACTAATCCATATATCGAAGAAGAGTAAATTGCATGCAACCAAAGAGACTTACCAAGCACCTTGACCACTTTCTCCTCTTCCGGGCCAACCGTCTCGTTGTCCGAACTCTCCACGAGCTGGAAAATCTCGGCGGAAGCTTCGGCGCCATCTAGTGTATCGTTAGAACTGTACGTTCTGATGGTGAATTCGGTGCGTGTCGCCGAGTTCGTGTTAGGAAAAGATGAGCTTAGATTGGGAAACGGGGAAGTGTTGGACCCATCTAGGGGGCTCGTCATATCGCTGAACAGCTTACCGGCCGATGCGAGGTCCTGCTCTGCCAGTTTCTCTGCTTCCTCTTCTGCCTCTTGGATATCCTCCTGTACATGCATCCAGCTGTTGTCCACATGATACGGCATATGGGGTGTGCCTGCGTACGGAAAGTCCGTAGGCGTCGGCGGTAGGTCCCAACTCAGATTATGGCCGGTATCTCTCGGCATCTCTGGCGCGTCTTCTTTCGTGCGGTCTCCTTGACGTTGTCCCTAAGCGCCGTCTTGGTGACGTCGCACTCGTCTGCGATCAGAATGCTCTCGTCGGTCCGATACCGAGCCTCGCGTTGTAGTTTCCGAACCGGCCCTCGCACGCGAGCGTAGGTTCTCCTCTGGCCCACGAGTACGAAGCTTTGGGATGTGCTCCCAAGGGTATTCATTATCGCGTGAAGACCGGGAAGATCCGCAGGAGGGCTGTCTGGCACGGTAGTTGTTCCGAGGTTGAGGTGCGTTGGAATCGATAGGATCAAGGACCTGCTTTTCACTGCGAAGGTTAAGATCCTCGAAGGCTTTGTTGACTGCCTTGGATACCTCGTCCTGCAAGTCATATTTCTTGATAGACGCCTGTGATACGTCCGAAACGCTTTCCACAGTAACCTTAGGTCTAACCCTAGAACGGGATTTGGGGGAGATTGGCAACTCGATTTTGGATCCTCTCTTTGGGGTTCGAGGTGTGGATGACTTTCTAGAACCAGTTCTCTTCGATCGGTCCAAGGGGCCGTTCTGCTCAGGCGATGATGTAGATCGGGTGAAATTGCGACTTTTAGAGTAAGCACTGGAATGTCTGGCGCCAGAACCCTTTCTGGGAACCGGACGCTTACTGCCTTGAGAAGAAACACGTCGACGGCGTTTCACTACTTCTAATCCTGACGACGAGTCGTCATCCTCATTCTTATACATATTTCCTCTGCTTGAAGGCGTCATGCGCCTACACTGATCCCGTCGTGGGGTTGACCGGGGAACAGGCGCCGAGGGTTCGGCTTCCGATTCTTCCACTGTGGAAAGTGATTGGATCACCTGGGTATCATCGTCCGAAGTGGCTGAATTGAATGTCTTGTTGGAGAAGAGACTGAAGCGCCTCGACTTTCCAAGCCATCTGTAACCGATGCCAGTCTTCTTACGCTTCTGCCCGTCATCGTGAGTAACGTGTAATGCATCAACAGTAGTAGGAACGTGCTCTTCATTGACAATCGTGGTGTTTTCGCGCTCTATCTGAGTGGCTTCACTGTGACACCTGCTGCAATAGGCTCGCTTCGGGATCTGGCCTATCTCCAAAGGATGTTCTTCCTGGTACTGCCGAGATCGTATCTTTCCACAACCGGCGCAAAAATGGAAGTGGTGAAGTTGGCTGCCAATATCCTCAATATCTTCAGCCTTCTCCTCGTCTTCCTCTTTTTCCGCATCCTTTTCGGCTGCATTCTGCGCCTCGATCATTGCTTTATAATGCTCCTCAAACCCACGGGCCTCGACAGGACTGAATACGATGGGCTGGTTTGCGGCTGGTTGGCTACAATCGTGACGTTGACAATTTGGGGGAAATGAAACAGGGGTAACAGGTGCAACAGGAGAGTGAGGATTCAAGGTTGTAAACCCTTGAATAGGGTAAGTAGGAGTGTTAGGCTCTGACCATACAGCCGGGGGGTGATATTGGTGATAGATTATGGGCTGTTGCTGATGCTGGGGAGTAGGGAAACCAGGAGAGGGCATCGGACCCACGGGAGAGGTCGGAAGAGAATAGTAGGCTTGGTTAGGTGCTGCAGTAGCAACCATGCCATTGTTGAAAGCCTGGGTGTTCCATATGGCAGGAGGGGGAGGATGTGTTTGTGAAGGAGTTATCTGCGTGGGTTGAGCTGGTAGATTGAAAGTAGGGGGCGTCAGTTCTTGCGTGCCAAGCACTCTGCTGTCATTATAACCGACTTGCGGGCTATCGCCACTTTGACCAGACTGAACAGCAGGAGAAGCTGATATATATCGATGGTTGCCTTTGAGAGGGAGTAGGTGAGGGACATCGTGTCCGGAAGAGAGGCGACGGCTGCTGAGTCTGGGGCGTGGAGTGAAGCGGCGAGCTGTGGTCGAAGGCGTAGTAGGATGTGAACTCTGGGAAGAAAGCTTGCGTCGTTGGCCTTCGCGCTCGATATCTATGCGAGAAGCAAGACCCAAAGCTTGCGCGATGGCATCGAAGCCCATGTCTTCCAATAGTCTCGCAGGCTTTTTGCGACCAAAAGCTGGCTTTCCTTTCTTAGTGGTGGTGATGTATATGTCTTTGCGACCCGGGATATAGATCTCGCGGTCACTATCACCGTCACTGAGCTCTTGTTCCAGCATTGGCCGTTCGGCCTCGCAGCCAGCGCTTCTATTGATCAATCAGTATTGATTGGGCGACAATGATATAGCTAGCGAGTTGCTACATATGCAAGTCAAGCAAAATGGAAGATGATGTGTGACTTGGAGGATGAGAGAATACAAGCCGGGAGATGTAAAAAAGAAAAAGAAAAAGAAAAAGAAAACAACATTGAAAAGGAAAGGGAAAATTTTTGGGCTTACTTGGATCGGCATCGAAGCCTTAGAGTAGACATCGTAGAATGGAATCAAAAATTAACAATGCAGTGTCGAGTTCCAAATAGTGCGATCACGACGACCAAATATGACAAGGGCGACATACCAAGGCAAGATAAGATGGATGTGCGGAGAGGATTGAGAGACGGCATAATATGACGAAGAGAAAAAGAAGAAAAAGACGACATGAATTGGTCGAGGTTGATCACAAAGTTTAAGAAATGGTGCGCAGCGAAATGAGGTTGTAAGGTTATACTGGGAAGTATCTTAGGATGGTGCTTGAAAATTTCAACCTGAACTTCAACGCCAGGGTTTTCTTTTTTTTGACACCTGAGACCAGATGAAAGGCCTCATTAAGCTCTTATCATCAAATCAATTGCCTACCGACAAGTTAGTTCCTACTGTGTGCAGTTTGTGATGAGGTTGAAATCCATTTCATACCGTTGAAAAGGGGCATATGCTTTAAACCAAGACTCAAACTTAAAAATCATACCATCAGGTCTCAATGTCCTTTTTTATATTAATATTTATACTACTATTGTTGTTTTATTCAATTGATTTTCTCAACCGGCTTCTTGGACCCGAACGAGGGATACACGGTCTTAGGAAAATCTCTTAAAATCCGTGCATCCTTATGACAGAGACAACTATCTTCTTCTCCCGTAATATAGCACAGCCAGATCATCTAAGAGCCCATCTAAGTCCGAGATATGCATATAAGAACATATCAAGCAAGTAATTCTCCATTCCGTTTCTTTTCAGGCCCTGCCATATCGGGGTAATAAATTCGATAGTCCATATATCTGAATAAACCATCCGTAACTTTAGAAAATGTTTGTGCGTCGAAGCAACGTTTCTTGTAGTTGAAGCGTGCACCAATATTTGGCATAGGTGTCAAGAATATAATAGATAAACATCAGATCTATATAGACCCATTCTATCAACTACTATGCGGGAGTGGTGACGCTAGATTCAGTCGGAATTGGGGGTAAATAGTCCTAACTGCGGTAGGGGGCGCACTGGCCCGCGAACTCCGTCGAGGAACAGGAACATATGAGCCAAGAACCCTGACTGCCTCAGCGCGCTTCTCTTCGAAAAATCGACTGCGTTCTAATTCTTTG